TCGCTGCCCAGGTGGGTCTCGAACCCGTGGGCTCAGGCAATCCACTCACCTCAGCCTCCCAAAGGCGCGGGATTACAGGCTGAGCCACCTAGCCCGGTTCCCTGGTCCTTTCTTACTTCAAAGTCTTCCCCTTCTCCCACCGGCCCCCATCCTGCCCACAAGCCTGCCCCTGTTCTGAGCACTTTCTAGGCTGTGGTGTGTGTGGGGGGCAGTGGGCAGGGGGAGGGCGGTATAGGCTGGAACAGGCGATGCCCAACCCTCCGTGAGGGTGCGGGCAGGTCCTGCTGTTGCTAAGGGCTCCCTCTCTGGGGTCCGGAGACCTGGCAGGCACCAACATCCCTGTCCTGTGGGCCAGGAGCTAATGAAGTCGGTAGGCAGGGTGTGATTCCCGGGGAACCAGCAGAGCAGACAGAGCCCCTGTCCTCTGGGGCACCCAGGGCAGGAGCGGCCCCTAGGCCTGCCCCTCCCATCTCAGCTCCGCTCTGGTCTCAGGCAGCTCAGGCTTCCTAGAGGTGGAGTGCTGGAAGGGACCATACACTGCCCAGGACCCTCTCTTGGCTTCCTCTGGCGGGATCCGCCTTCAGGGCACGGCATAGCTGTACAGGGGCCGCCTGTCTCTCCCGGTGACAAAGGGCTCACAAGTCAGCAAGCGAGACCCAGGAACCTCAGAGCAGCACCAGGTGGGTAAGGACAGCGGCAGGAAGGACTCAAGGCAGACTTCCGAGTGAACATCCAGGCAAGTGATGAGTTTTCCAGGCATGTCGGCCAAGGGGCCTATGGCTACGACTTAGCCTGAAGCTGATTAAGAAAAGGAGGGTGGAACAGGGCTGACGGGCCCGGGGTATGGAGGGGAGGGCAGGAGATGGAGTGGAGATTGGGCAGGAGCTCTGAGAGAAGAGAGCTTTCTGGAAGTAAGGGTGAGCAGAGGCAGATTGACAGCCACTCTTTCCCTAGTGTCCACTGTGTGCCAGGCACTGTTCTGAGCATGTAGCTCATACTATCGCACACAACCCTCACGCCATCTCTGCGAGGATGGGCATGTTATCCCCATTGCACAGATGGGAACAGTGATGCACAGGGAGGCTCCCTAGTAGGTGATGGAGCCGGTTTTTTCTTTTTTTTTGAGTTGGAGTCTCACTCTGTCACCCAAACTGGAGTGCGGTGGCCGCTCCCAGACACCGCAGCCTCAACCTGCTGGGCTCCGGCGATCCTTCCGCCTCAGCCTTCTGAGTAGCCGGAACTACAGGCATGTGCTACCACACCTGGCTAATTTTTGATTTATTGTAGAGATGAGGTCTCGTCAAGTTGCCCAGGCGGGTCTCGAACCCGCAGGCTCGGGCAATCCACTCACCTTGGCCTCCCCAAGTGCTGGGATTACAGGCTGAGCCACCGAGCCCGGCCTGGAGCCGGTTTTAAACCGGAGCTGCAGTACCCACAAGCTTTACCCTTAAGGTATGGAACTTTTTTTTTTTTTGAGTCAAGGCCTCATCCTGTCACCCAGGCCAGAGTGCAGTGGTAGGATCACGGCTCCCTGCAGCCTCAAACTGGTCTCAAGCGATCCTCCTGCCACAGCCTCCCAAAGTGCTGGGATTACAGATATGAACCGTAGCACCTGGTCAAGTTATGGAACTTCTTACAGGCAGGCATGGGTTCTTTGGGGGAGCAGGAGCCAGGCCTCCCAAGCCTTCTACCCTGCTGCCACGTCCAGTAATAGTCCATGCCACTGGTGGGTGTGGACCAGGAGCAAGAGATGCAGAGACTCGAAAAATCACGGGTACTCGACTGCAGCGTTTATCCAGGGTGCTGGGCTCTGGGCTGCTCCCTCGTTCCTCCTTCTGTAGTCTCTGGAACCGGAGTCCGGGACCCATGAGGGGTGCTGATGTTGGAATTCACAGGCCCCCTCTCCAGTCTCTCCTCAGCTTCCCTCAGAGACCAAGCAATCCCCCTGGCAGGGGCTCTGCGAGAGGTGCTGGGAGACCCTTCCAAGCCTGGCATTGAGGCTGCAAAAGAAGGGTGTCTCCAGCCCCCATCCCCGTGCAGGACAAAAGGGATGGGAAACTCCAGTCAGAACCCTCTTGCTGTCTTGTGTTTTGTCTAGTTTGCGGCCCCAAACTTGGTGCAAGGTAAATGCTCAGGAAATATTGCTGACAGGCAAGCTCTCCCTGTCTGCGGCTCACGGGCCCTGGCCTGGACTCTAGGCTGTCTGGGTCTCATCCTCAGTCGGCATCTCCTGATGGGGGTTCCTCATGCCCTCAGCATGTGGGATGGAGTGGGGGTGAGGAGGAAGGTCTGACTGCTGGGTGTGGCAACCCCTACCCTGCTGGGGACTTGCCAGCACAATCTAGGAGCAGTGGTTCCCAAGTTGGTCTGCCCCTAGGATCATCTGGGATCGTTCAAAAATGCCAATGCCCAGACCAACTAAATCATGGTTCTGGGGCAGGACCCAGGCTTCAGCATGTGTAAGACTTCCCAGGTGACCCCAACATGCAAACAAGCTTGGAGACCTCTGGCAGGGACTTGCGCCTTCTCTAAGTCCTTTTGTATACACTTTTTGATTTGAACCTCAGATTAAATCTGCCTATTTCACAGGGCAGGATGTTGCCAAAAATATATATACGTGTGTGTGTGTGTGTGTGTGTGTGTGTGTGTGTGTGTGTGTGTATTACTTGTCAGGTTATAAAAGCAATTTTTACTCCCTGCAGAAGTTTTGGAAATAAAAAAATTAAAAGAAGAAAATAAGCCAGGCATGGTGGCTCATACCTGTAATTCCCAGCCCTCCACGAGGCGGGAGAATCACTTGAGCCCAGGTGTTCAAGACCAGCCTGGGCAACATAGCAAGACCTCCTTTCTACAAAAATAACAATAAAAAAATTAGCCCGGCATGGTGGTTCACACCTGTAGTCCAAGCTACTCAGGAGGCTGAGGCAGGAGGATCGCCTGAGCCTAGGAGGTCAAGGCTGTGGTGGGTGGTGATCGTGTCACTGCCCCCGAACCTGGGTGCCAGAGTGAGACCTCGTTTCAAAAAAAATTTTTTTGAATTAAAAAAAGGAAGATAATGGGCCAGGCTCGGTGGCTCAGCCTGTAATCCCAGCATTTTGAGAGGCCGAGGCGAGTGGATTGCCTGAGCCCACGGGTTCGAGACCAACTTGGGTGACAGAGTGAGACTCCAACTCAAAAAAAAAAAAGAAGCAAATGAAAATTATCTGAATCTCACCCTTAGTGACAGCTACTGTTGACATCAGTTTAATTTCCTTGCTTTCTCACAGTTGAGGAAACTGAGGTAGAGAAACATTAAGTAGCTCTCCCAAGGTCCTAGCACTACTGAATGCAGTCAGGATTTGAACCCAGGGCACTGCTGGAGCCCATCCTATCAGGTTGTCATGAGGTCTGAAGGGGCTAGTGTGTGACAAGGGCAGGCATATGTCTGGGCCCACTACGTGCTGGGGTCCAACAGGAAGAGGGGAGGCAGCCTTGGACTGGTTTCCATGCTGTCCTTGTATGTCTGGAACAGGGAATGGAGTCCAATGCCACGTTCACCATCCGGCTCACAGCCACACCTGAGCGGCCACTCCGACTCGTCTTTGCTGGGGTCTGCGGCCTCATCCTCCTGGTGGGGCTGCTAGCCAACGGGCTCATGCTGCTGGTGGTGGGCCGGGGCCTCGGCGCCCCCTGCCCGCTTCTGGTCCTGACCAACAGCCTCATGGTGAACATCACGCTTTCTGACCTGCTCTTCCTGGCCTTTGTGGTGCCTGTGCTGCTCCTGAGCTTCCTGCGACATGACTGGTGGCTGGGCCCCGCCATCTGCACCGCCAGCCAGGCCACCAACACGGCCACCATGTTCTGCACTTTCTACAGCATGGTGGCCACGGTGCTTCTGCGCCACGTGGCCGTGGCCTGGCCCGACGTGGCCTTCCCAGCCGGCCAGGGCGCCCGCTTGCTGCTCTGCGGGGCCATGTGGGTCCTGGGCCTTACCGCGTCGCTGCCCAACTGGCTGTTCCAGCGGGTGGCAGTGGAGGAAGAGACGGCAGGGGGCCCCCAGAGCCAGGCCTGCCTCTTGCTCCTGAGCCCTGCTCGGACCTCCTGCTACTTCACGCTGCTAGGAGCCCTGGCCTTCCTGCCTTGTGTGCTGGGCCTGGGTTGCTCTTTCAGCCACGTGGGCTGGCTCCTGTGGGCTCGGCCTCGAGGTCCCGGTGGGGAGAGCGTCCGGGAGCACCAAGGGAACACAAGGCTCATCCTCGTGGTGCTGGTGGTCTTCGTGCTGATGTGGGGGCCCTGCTCTGTGCTGGGCTACGTGGGGGCAGTGGGTGGCCTGCCTGCCACGCCAGGGGCTTTCGTGGCCTCCAGCCTCTGCACCCTCCTGGCCTACTCCAATTGTGCTGTCAGCCCCATCCTCTGCTTCTGCCTCTCCCGCCCCTTCCGGGCAGGACTCAGGGGACTCTTCTGCAGGCCGATGACAGCCAGGCATCCCAGAGGTGTGGGAAGGGTTCCCTCGGTGATGGCGAGTGTCCAGCCGGGCCATGACAGGGCCTCAGGAGAGGGCGTCTGAGAGGACAGGCTGATGGAGGGGCTGAGACTCAAGGGAGGCGGAAAGATCCTTAGAGCTCACCCCTTCTATATTGCCAGTGGGGAGACTGAGACCCAGAGAGGGCAGGCGGCCCAGCAAAGGCCACACAGCAAATAGATGGCTCAGATAGAGCTCATATCTTTAGATAACCGGGGCGATCCTCCCATTCCACCTGGAGGCTTAGATACCCATAGGCTCCACTACGCTCTAGCTGTGTGATCTTGAGCAAGAGTGGGCCTTACCCTCTCTGTGTCTCGATTTTCTTGTCTGGAAAATGGGATCACGATAGTATGCACCGTCTTCCCAGGGTTGTTATGAAGATGAATTCACTGTACACATATAAAGTGCTTAGAAGAATGCCTGGTACTTAGTAAGTGCAGATGTGCTGTCACAACCACTACTATTATCATTTTATTTTTATTAATTCAGGGGCATCTGAGATGAGTGGGCTAGAAGGGGACAGGGGGCTTTCAAAGGCAGAGAAGTGGGTAGAGGAATGATCTAGGGGCTGACGGCCTGGGGTCCTCAATCCTGTAGGCCAGGGGCTTGAGTCGAGCGGAGCGGAGGGGCAGCCCCTGCCTGGGTGGGGGCCCAGAGCCCAGGAGAGCCTTTTGGCCACCTCTCCCTTCTCTGCCCACCCGTCCAGCTCTGTCCTGCACATCCTCAGCCCAATAAGCAAACAGAAATAAAATCAGGCTTGGAGCCATGAACCTGGGTCTGTGAATGTCTGAATACCCTCCTTCCTTTGCGGGGTTTCTCTTCCTGAGGAGGCTGTAACAGGGATCTCTCTCGAGGTCCTTTTCTTCTCTCCAGAGCCCAATGCGAGGTCTCTATCTTTCCCACCCTCTGCGTCCTCCCTCTGGCCTCCTCGGAGCGGGCCCCAGGATTCTGTGTTGGCCTGGAAACCAGGAAGGTCGTCTCTCCTGAAACTCCCAAGACACATGTTCTGCTTGGTCATGGTGTTAGCGGCTGAACACACACACACACACACACACACACACACACACACCCGACTCCATGGTAAAAGGCTTGAGAAACGCTGGGTTGAATCAAGTCAAACTGGTCTCTTTGCTAAAGAACTTGAGTACCCTAATGGCTGCTGAGACCCTCCGAGAGGGGCCCCCAGCAGGCAGGTTCTCGAACTCCATGCCAGGGAACCAGCCTTCTGTGGACACACGCTGGGGGAAAAACCCAGGAAAGTTATAGTGTCAGGCACAACAAAGATGCCCTTGGCATCTATCTTGTCCCGTTCCATGGTAGCGGCTCTGAGCCTCGGTCCACCCCTGCCAGGTAGGCACCCCCTCCTGACGCTTTCCCACAACACCCAGGATGAGGGAAAGTGAGGTGCTGGTTGTGGGAACGTCCCTCTTCCCGGGCTGTGACCCCACCTGTTCCTACTCAGAGCGTATCGGAATGCACGTCAGAAGGTCAGCTAACAGAGACAGCCGTGAATCAGCTCTAATTTACTATAAAACTGTAAAATGTCAACAAGTCCCAAAGTTTGGTCTGATTAGCACCAAACTCCTTGCGAGGCGCAGGCTGGGGGTGGCTGTCTGGAGGCCAATCTGAGAAGAACCTCCCCGCTGGAGAAGGGTCCCTGTGGTAGCTGGTGGCCATAGGGATTTATATGTGAGGAGGGACAGGGAGGAAAACAATGTTTCTTGTGCACCTAAAAAGCATCAGGTCCTGGGTGTATGTCACACACATCACAGGCACATACCCACCAGTCACTGCTGGGCCACACGATAGTCTTGCGAGGGAGGAGCCATGGCTCCACGGCACAGGGGAGCAATCACATGTCGTGGGCAAGTGGCCTGGGTGTCCCCCAGGTTGAGCCAGGAGCCCCCTTTGGTGCCCACAGACCCTGGTCCCTCCTGCTGGATTGACCTCAGTACCCCCATGATTGTAGGAGCTCCTCTCTCATGGCCCCAGGGTAGGGGTGTCCCTGTGTGTGAGTCTCTGTGTGTGGGTCTGCTGCTGGTATTCAGTAGATGCTTGCAGAGAGATGAATGAGTGATCAGATCCATTTGGTTTGGAGAAAAAGCCAATCATGTCACCTCCTCAGTGGTGTCTGTTTCACTTAAACACCAAAGGCTTCACCAGGGGCTGCAAGGCCCTTTGCATTCTGGCTCTTTCTCCTGTCTCCTGCATGCTCCCTTCCTTAACCCAGCTTCCACCACACTGGCCTCCTTGCTCTCCTGCAAACACACCCAGCATGATCCTATCTCAGGGCCTTTGCACCTGCTATTCCCTCTTCTTAGAGCCTTCTTCCGCCAGATAGCAGCATGTCTCATTTCCTGGGTGCCCACCTCAACTGTCACCTCCTCAGGGAGGCTCTCTCCGACCACCCCATCTAAAATATTACCTGTCACTTTCTACCCTCATTCTCTCTCATTTCTCTTTATAACTCTATTTTTTTTTTTTTTTTTTTTTTTGAGTTGGAGTCTCACTCTGTCCCCCAGACTGGAGTGTGGTGGCCGCTCCCAGCCACCGCAGCATCGACTTGCTGGGCTCCGGCGATCCTTCCGCCTCAGCCTTCCAAGTAGCTGGAACTACAGGCGCGCGCTACCACGCCCGGCTAATTTTGATTTGTTGTGGAGGTGAGGTCTCGCCAGGTTGCCCAGGCGGGTCTTGAACCCGTGGGCTCAGGCAATCCACTCACCTCAGCCTCCCAAAGGCCCGGGATTACAAGCTGAGCCACCAAGCCCAACTTCTCTTTATAACTCTTACCGCTGCCTGAAACTGTTATCAATCTAGTTGTTGATGTGTTTATTGTGCTCCTCTCATATTATTTGCTTGTTATACGCCCCGTGTGGAGACAGGGCCTGTGTGTTGTTCACTGCCAGTGAACAACATACCCCCAGTGCCTAGCACAGAGCCTGGCACATAGTGGTTGCTCCGTAAATCCTTGTTGAGCAAAATAATTGAAGGAAGAGAGAGAGGAGAACCTGGGCTCTGCCAGACAGCAACAGCTGTGCTATTTTTTTCAGAGGAGAGAGGAAAACAAGGTACTTTACTAAAAGAACCAAATTTACTTCAGTTTAAGGCAAATTCCACACAGAGACTGTCTCAGAGACGGGCACAGGACCAGACAGGACCAGACACCTTAGAAACACCACCATCATGCATGACAGGGGGGAAGCGGAGTCGGGCAGCAGATGGGATGGGGCCTGGTCTCCACCCAGGCATGGAGAGGTTGGCGGGCTGAGGCGCCCCATGCGGCGGGAGGGACGGGCATGCATGACCTGCTCCCCGCAGGGGCAAAGGCTGGGCGGCTGGGTGGGCCTGGGGGTGGGATCCCTCTTCCCACCTTCCCCGTGGCAGGGACAGGAGCTTGGGCTCAGACGCCAGAGCCCATGGCTGACAGCTGAAGGGACAGATCGGGGTGACCCTAGAGCCAAGACGGCCTAGGTCACATTGGCTAGAAGCGGGAGGGCAGAGCTGGGGATGGGATGAAGGAACTCTGGGGATGTCAGAGCTGAAGCAAAATCTGGGGCCATCTGGTCAACCCTCTCCCTGTACAGATGTGGAAACTGAGGCCCAAAAGGCAGGAGAGTCTTGCTTGGGTGCCAGAGTAGGCAGGGAGAGGAGGCAGGGCTCAAACCCAGGACTCCTGGGATAGAGGGCAAAGGAGAACAGCGTGGGAGCATGGGGCTGAGCTGCTCCCTGCCCCAGCCTCCAGGTGGGCAGAAGAGTGGTCACATCAGGCCCCGGGCAGCCTCTGGAGGGCGGAAGCATCGCCTGAGCCAGGAGTCAACTGTGGACGTGCCCGGGGGCCCACACCTGTGAGAGGCCTGCGGATCTGTGTGTCTAGGACCAGCATCCTACCGGGCTTGAGGGGCACAAAAAGGACTCTGCCGAGAAGCCTCATTTCAGGCCCACCACATGGCCCGCGGTCCCCCAGGTCTGCAGGGCTCCCATTGCATACGGTGCCCCTAGGAGGGGTCACGTGTTCAGGCATTCCCGCAGACCCACCCGCCTCCTGGGGTTCACTAGAAACAGGGCACAGGGTCGATCACAGGGTGGGGCTGGGGATAGGACAGGAGGGGAAGGGGGGCTTCAGGGGAGTAGGTAAGCAGACGGGATCGCCCAAGGTGGGCTGGGGGGGTGCCCCAATCACCCCAATTGTTAACACTTTCCTTGTGGGGCTAGAACCAGGTGTCAGGGAAGAAGAGAAGCCCTGGGGCCCAGAACTTGGTGCACCCTTCCGTCACCTGTACCCCCCAACTCTCAGGGATTGAGCAGTAGGTGAGGCCAGGAAATCGAGGAAGGGTCTCTGGAGGCCCCAGCCCCTGCCGGCACCCAGGTACACAGATGTCCCGAAGGCCAGGCCGGGTGAGCCGACTGTAGGGAGTCCGGGGACCTGCCTACCGCTCTAGTGGTCTCCCCGGGGCCCCAGCCTCCTGCCTGCTGTGGACCGGCAGGAGGTTCACATGTGCGTGTGCAGAGGGGAGGCAGGGGGCGTGCGGGCCGGGGACTGTGGGGGTGACTGTGTGGGCGCCGCGGGCGGGGGGCGGGGGCGGATGCCCTGCGCCTTCATGTAGGACACCAGCTGGTCAGGGATCTCCGCCAGCACGTCGCGGGCCAGGCGGGCCATGCTCAGCACGTGGTTGCCCGTGCGGTCCACGTAGTCCCGGAAGGGCACGAACTGGCAAGCGGGAAGTCAGAGTCAGGCCGCGCCCTCCGCTGGACCCTGGCCCTCCCTAGTCTCCAGGGCTGGGGTCACATCCACTCCCCTCCCAGCATTTCTGCTCTTATTCTCTCTCACTTCTCTTTGGAACTCTTACCATCGCCTGAAACTGTGTTTTTTGTTTGTTTGTGTTTGTTTTTTTGAGTGGGAGTCTCATTCCTTCACCCAGGCTGGAGTGCAGTGGCACGCTCACGGCCACCCCAGCATCGACCCTCTGGGCTCCTGCGATCCTTCCACCTCAGCCTTCTGAGTAGCCTGGAACTACAGATGTGTGCTACCACGCCCGGCTACTTTTTTATTTTATTTTTTTTTGAGTCGGAGTCTCACTCTGTCGCCCAGACTGGAGTGCAGTGGCCGCTCCCGGCCACCACAGCCTCGACCTGCTGGGCTCCGGTGATCCCTCCGCCTCAGCCTTCCGCATAGCTGGAATTACAAGCGCGCGCTACCACGCCTGGCTAATTTTTTGATTTTATTGTAGAGATGAGGTCTCGCCTGCCCAGGCAGGTCCCGAACCCGTGGGCTCAGGCAATCCATTCACCTCAGCCTCCCAAAGGCGCGGGATTACAGGCTGAGCCACCGAGCCCGGCTCCGGCTACTTTTTAAAAATTTTATTGTAGAGACGAAGTCTCGCCAAGTTGCCCAGGCGGGTCTCGAACCCACAGGCTCAAGCAATCCACTTGCCTCGGCCTCCCAAAGTGCTGGGATTACAGGCTGAGCCACTGAGCCCGGCCGGAACCGTGTTATTAACTTGCTCACTGATGTGTACACTGTGTTTCTCTTATACTGCATTGGTCATAGGCCCCGTGTCAAATCAGGGCCTGTGTGCTGTTCAACTGCACCCCCAGTGCTCACTTCACTCCCTTGGTGAATTCCACGAGGGACTGTGTCACAGTCACTATTCGTTCACTCAACAAATGCTTCCTCAGCCCCTATTCCACACCTGGATACACCACGGAGGCAAACACAGATGCTATGCTGAATGATTCCCCTGCCTTCTGGGATATGAGCCCTCCCCATCTCCTCCCCGCTCTCCTGCAGAGTCCTCTCTGTCTCTGCCCTCTCTTCTTCCCTTTTCTCTCTGGGGCTAATCTGGCCAACACCTAAAGCCAGGTGGTGTGGGTTCCTTCCCCCAGGGGTGTCCCCCACCCCTGCCTCAGGCTCAATTCTGCCTCCAGGCCTTGGCGTGGGATGGTCCCCCCCCTCAGGCTGCCCTTTCTGGGTTCCCAGTCCCCTATCTTTGATCTCCACAACTGGGATCCTAGGTCCTGGTTTTTAAATAAGGGGGGGGTCCTGGAGAATGGCATCTTTTTATTCCGAATCTCCTAAGCACAAGGGACTCAGGCAGTAGGAGATTGGATGAGGGACGTGCCTGCTGGCGGTGCACTCTTCTGCCTGACTCGGTGGGAGTTCCCTGAAGACAAAGCCCTCTCTCTCTGCTCATGGATACCACATCCTACATGGAGATGTTGTGCCACTGATTCAGCTAACCCAGCCACACCCATTCTTGGACACCAAAGACACAGCCTCCGCCTTCAAGGGGTCTGCCGGGAAGGCCGCCAGACAGCCAGCAACAGAAAGTGGATGGCCACAGAGGCCTGGGGGCTCAGGCAGGGCCAGCAGAGCATTCCTGGCTCTGGTCGGGCACCAATTGTGTTAGTAGCGAGTCTCAGACATGGCAGGGAGGAGTACAGCCCAGAGGGAAGGCCACTCTGGGGCTCCCAGGGTCTCCCTCCGGGGCCTCCCCAGGGAAGCCTACAAAGGGAGTGTGAGGTCAGTCTGGCTGGAAGTGGCTCCTGAATTTCCCGTGGGGCAGGCAGGATCTGGGCTTCACCTGGACAATGTCCCGCTCGGCCAGCTTCCCCCGGGAGGAGATCCGCACATCATCACCATCCAGTTCCACCATGGCTGTGTGGGAGGGAGTGGCATGGGATGGGGGGAAAGGGGGATTAATGGTGGATACTCGAGCCTGGCAGGACGTTGGATGTGTCCTCCAGTCCCAGGCCAATCCGGGCAGAGACCGTCGGCCCGTGCCCCCGTGCTAGAGACGAGGGAACAGGCCAGGAGCCCGGAGTAGCCCAGCCAGTGAAGCCCTGACTTCTAGCCCAGGACTCTGGCTCCGCCGTCCTCTCCAGACTCTCAGAGCTGGAGGAGAAAGGAGTGACTGGGGCCTCCTCCCCACAGCCTTGGGGCGAGGGTGTGGGTGCACACCCTGACACACCCCTCCCTGCGCAAACAAATGCACCCCCACGCCCTGCACACTCACCCAGACAGCCACACACGCCCAGGCGTGAGCTCTCTCTTTTGGGAAGGGGACCTGGAGCCTCTGGGGGAGACAGCTGGGGCGGGGGCGGGGGGACAGGAGGGAGAGGAGGGAGGGTGGCAGGCGGACTCACCGTCGAACTCTGCCTGGCCCACGCCGATGATAATGATGGACATGGGGAGCTTGGCAGCCTGGGAGACGGCACGAGGCAGGGGAAAGTCCGGCCCAACGGGCGCCAGTTAAAAGAAGGGACAGAGAGGGGTGGGTCAAAAGGAGAGAGGCAGGGGAGAGGGAAAAATTGGAGAGGGAATGGAGGAGAGAGAGAGGGAGGAACATAGCAAAGGGGGGAGGGAGAGGCCACTCAGAGACAAAGACCCAGGGAAACGGAGATGGAGCCAGGAGAGGAAGCGGACGGAGGCAGGGGAGGTAGATCCCAGGGCTGCTTCTGGGAGCCCTCTCCTGCTGCCAGACCTCCCTCTGGGGGACCCTCTTTTACGTGGCTCCGAGGAAGGACTGGCACAGCTGCAGCTGGGGCCCCTTTTACGGGGCGGCCACCGGGCAGGGGAGCCATGTGCCTGGGTGTCCCCTGCCCCGGGCCTCCCACACCCTCTTCCTGGCCAGGCCAGCCTGAGGTCTGGGACAGCGTCCTAGAGACGGCTTAGTGAGGAAGCCATGGGGGTCTGGAGGAAGTGGACCACCCAGCATGACTAAGAGGTGGTACACAGCGTAACAGCCAGATCCCTTGTGGGCTGGGAGCCGCTTCCGCCCCCAACCGCCACTGCCCGGCCCTCTCGCAATTCCCACCAAGCTCTGTGGCCAGATGCCGGGAGGTGGACGAGGCCAGTGGGTGCCACTGAGGTAGGGAAAGGAGAATCAAGGCCCCGCCGTATCCCTAAAGAAGGAAGGGGACACCCAGGGGGAGGAGACGCCTCAAACTGCCCCCGCTCACTCTTCCCCTCCCACCCCATCCCGCTGTCCTCACTCACGTTGACAATGGCTTCCTTGGTCTGTGCCATGTCTGAGATGACCCCGTCCGTGATGATGAGCAGCACGGAGTACAGGGAGCCGTCCTGCACGGCCGCAGCATTCCTGGGGTGGGCAGACGCAGGGTGAGAGCTGGCTAGAGGGGCCTCTGGGCTTGTTGATCCCCCTCCCATAAGGACCCTGAAAGCTCTTGGGGCATCTTTTCAGGGGCACGGCTCCTTGAAAGGCAAGGCAATGGAAGAAACTCCCCCCGGCGTCCAGAGTCAGTGGGTGTGGAAACAGAGGGCCCGGGAGCTGAGGGCAGGGTGTGACCTGGCACTCACCTGGCCACGTGGGTGACCACGGGGGCAAAGTTGGTGGGGCCATAGAGCTGCACCGTGCGCAGGCTGCGGTGGTAGGCCTCTAGGATGCCGTCGATGCCGCAGCACGAGGGGTTCTCCTGGTTGCCGTTCTGGGGGCAGAGAGGACAGGAAGGCTGAGCCCAGGATGGGGGCAGTGGGTGATGTGTGGAGCAGAGCCCAGGTGCAGAGCCCAGTGGGCCTGGGCTATCCTGGGCTCTTCCCTGGTGTGGGTGGCTGGTTGGGGGGGAGGTCCCAGGGTCCCCCAGGAGTGCCGTGCATGCTTCGGGTGAGCAGGGGCCATGCTGGACCCTTCCTTGCTCTACTCCCTGCACCTGCTCAGAAGCACCCCAAGAACCCCGGCTGCTTCCGTCAGGGAAACTCAGGCAAACCCACCATGCCCCAAAATGACTGCTGGGTCTAAGCAACTCAGCAAGGACCTGCGGCTGATCTGTCCTCACGTGTCTCGTGCCCAGCACAGTGCCTGGTACTCCCAGGCACCGGAAGGATGTGTGCTGTGCCTGAGTGTCCCCAGCTCATGGAAGCCAGCCAGAGGGGGTGGCCTGAGCAGTCATCTCCATGGGGCCCGGGACTCCCAGACGACACCATATTCCACAGCCTCACAGGGTCCTCACACCCCTCCCCGCATCTCAGCACTGACTCAAGCAACTCCTGGAACTATCTGTGGCTGCTCACACCCAGTCTGCACCCCCTTATCTCCTCTCCTGGGGCCCTGGGAGGGGGGTCGGCCATAGGCCCCTCCCCCTCCATCTGACTCTTGTTGGGCACAAGGAGGCCAGAGCCAGCTGTGGGTGGCTTCAGAGAGCGAGCATTTCTGGAGAGCGAGCATTTCTGAGCAGGGTGGGGAACGGGTTTCTGGAGGCCTTGATGCAAGTTCCACATGCACGGCAGGTGGCCCACTCCCACATGGGCTGCGCCTTAAGTCCCTAGGCCCAGAGGAGGGGAAATGTCCCCCACCCCCGGGCTTGCCACCACATCCCCAGCCCGGCCAATCCTCTGCCCACCAGCGGGACATCTTACCAGCGGGAATTCGTGGGACACCCTGCCATCTGGGGGCAGCTTGGCACCAAAGCCAAGGGCGGGGAACATCTTGTCGCTGTCATAGTGCTGGATGATCTCCCCAACGGCGGTCAGCGCCAGTGCATAGGCGTTCAGCTGGTAGGGGCTCATGTAGTGCAGGGATGTGGACTGCGAGGGATTCCCTGCAACACAGGACGTGAGGACAATTGCCGGCCTGGACTCTCCAAGGCATCCTGGATTTCGGATGCAGAAGAAGGTGTCCAAGGGCACCCGACCTTCATTTATCCTCGGTTCCTCTCTTTTTTTT